TGCTTGTTTGATCTGAACTGGTGTTTGATGTCAACTGAGGTTTGCTTGTTTGATCTGAACTGGTGTTTGATGTCAACTGAGGTTTGTTTGTTTGTTTGATCTGAACTGGTGTTTGATGTCAACAGAGGTTTGTTTGATCTGAACTAGTGTTTGATGTCAACTGAGGTTTGTTTGATCTGAACTGGTGTTTGATGTCAACTGAGGTTTGTTTGATCTGAACTGGTGTTTGTTCGATGTTTGATCTGAGCTGGTGCATGCTTGTTTGTTTGTTTGTTTGTTTGTTTGTTTGTTTGATCTGAATGGGTGTTTATTTCATGTTTGATCTGAACCAGTGTTTGTTTGACCAGAACTAGTGTTTGTGTTTTCTGAAGTGGTGTTTGTTTGTTCTCAACAAATGTTTGTCCTGAACTGATGTTTGTTTGATGTTAGATCTGAACTGGAATTTGTTTTTCCTGAACTGATGTTTGTTTGATGTTAGATCTGAACTGGTGTTTGTTTGATGTTTGTTTGATTTAAACTGGTGTTAGTTTGACCCGAGCTGGTGTTTGTTTGTTCTGAACTGGTGTTTGTTTTATGTTTGTTCTGAACTTGTGTCTCTTTTTCCTGAACTGATGTTTGTTAGATCTGAACTAGTGTTTGGTTCGTGTAAACTGGTGTTTGTTTGATCTGAACTGGTGTTTGTTTATCATGAACTAGTGTTTGTTTGATCTGAACTGGTGCTCGTTAGATCTGAACTGTTGTTTGTTTATTATGAACCGGTGTTTGTTTGATCTGAACTGGTGCTTGTTAGATCTAAACTGGTGTTTGTTTGATCTGAAATTGTGTTTGTTTGATCTGAAATGGTGTTTATTTGTTATAAACTGGTGTTTGTTTGTTCTGACCTGGCGTTTGTTTGATCTGAACTGGTTTTTTTTTTTATAAACTGGTGTTTGTGTGTTCTGAACTGATGTTCGTTTGTTATAAACTGGTGTTTGCTTGTGTCTCTGGAGTGTCACCTGTGTTCCAGGTGTTGTTGCAGGATGACCACGGCAAATTCCAGGTGAAGGAGTTGGACAGGTAAAATATTCCCCAGGCCAGCACGATGATGTAGTAGAAGTTCAGCAGAGCCACTATCACCTGCGTGGCGTATCCGATTCCTAAACACAAATCATTAAAGCATCATGACATAATGCATAAGGGTTCATGACTGCAGAAATTTTCATCTTTGGGTGAACTATCCCTTTAAATCTTTCACACCCCTAGCCTGAGGACTGAGACTCTTGACCTCTGACCTTCAAAGAGCGGGCTGATCTTCCTCCAGCATGTGATTCCTCCTTCACTGGTGTACTGACCCAGAGAAATTTCCAGGAAAAACACAGGAATGCCGCAGGTGAACAGAAAGATCAGGTAGGGGATGAAGAAAGCACCTGAGGAGGATGAAGATATTAGTCTAAAATGCCCCATGTAGTGCTAAGAAATGTCTATTTTATTATTTGATGTTTGAGATTATCTCAATGGAAACTTGAAGGGAGGGTGGGGCATAGTGTAGCTCCTCCCCTTTTACAAACAGCTAATAGCACTTTGTTTTAATCACAGCTCTGCCAGTGAGAGTGGTTGAGCTCAAGCGCATCAAATATAAAGCCAATTAGAAGAAGAGGGCGGGGCATGGCAGACACCAGAGAGCATTTGATTAGTCAGAAGATTTGACAACAAACTGAAGTATGAGGTGCCTCGAAAAAATCGTTGATCTAATTAGGTGAAAGTAATGTTTATATGAGATATATATCTTCTAAAAGTGAATTTTGAGCACAGTAGATTATAGATATTTCTAAAACGAACATACTGATAATATCAATAAACAGGATTTTAATTTTACGAGGGCCTTTAATACATTAGAGAAGTACAGTAGAGTGTCTGAGTGGATTTTCAGCAAAGGTTGAAATGTTTCCACAGGCTGATCAAACAACAGCTGCGACCTTTGACCTCCTGACCTGCTGACTCTCTCATCAGGCTGACTGCTGGATCAACAGGTCAGTTTCACAAACAGCTGGCAAACGCTAAACACACTGCAGATCCCGAGCCCATCATTCACTGACTTCCAAGGATTCAAATAAATATGATGTTAAGTGCATATATAAAGTCTGAATTATTAGCCCCCCTGTTTATTTTTTTCAGATAGATTTCTTCAACACATTTCTGAACATAATAGTTTCAATAACTCATCTCTAATAACTTATTTTCTCTTTGCCATGATGACAGTAAATAATATTAGACTAGATATTCTTCAAGACACTTCTATACAGCTTAAAGTGACATTTAAAGGCTTCACTAGGTTAATTAGGGTAACTAGACAGGTTAGGGTAATTAGGCAAGTTATTGTATAAGGTTGGTTTCTGCTGTAGACTATCGAAAAAAATATATAGCTTAAAGGGGCTAATAACTGTCCTTAAAATGTTTAAAAAAAATTAAAAACTGCTTTTATTATATTCGAAGTAAAACAAATAAGACTTTCTCCAGAAGAAAAAATATTATCAGACATACTGTGAAAATTTCCTGAATCTGTTAAAGATCATTTGGGAAATATTTAAAAAAGAAAAACTAATTCAAAGGGGGTGAATAATTCTGACTTCAACTATAAATATATATATGTTTTAATGATGGAATAAAATGTGACAGATTAGAAAAAAAATAAATCAAAAAAATTATTAATAAATTAGAAAAAATACTAGCAACATAAATATAAATAAATTTTAATAGAGTAAATATATTTAATTAAAATAAAATGTAAATTATATTAAATTAAAATTAAATTAAATTAAATTAAATTAAATTAAATTAAATTAAATTAAATTAAATTAAATTAAATTAAGTTAAGTTAAGTTAAGTTAAGTTAAGTTAAGTTAAGTTAAATTAAATTAAATTAAATTAAAATTAAATAAAATTAAATAAAATAAAATTATCAAGATATCAATTCTGGATTTAAATAATAAATTAATATATTTTAATAAAAAAAACTATTAAATAAAAAAATTGAACTAATTAAATCTGATGACTTAAATAACTAAATAATCTTAAAGGATTTTGCAAACTGCAGGACGCGTAGTAGGAGGTGAGCTTCCCTCCCTCCAGGACATCTACACCAGGCGGTGCATGAGGAAAGCCAAGAGAAGCATCAGCGACTTCAGCCACACAAGCCATAGACTTTTCTCTCTGCCGCCCTCAGGCAGACGGTTCTGCAGCATCCGGTCACGCACCAGCCGACTGAAGGAAAGCTTCTTCCCTCAGACTATCAGGCTGATGAATACTTAACACACCCCACACAGACTCTTCCACACCCCTCACTGCACACCATCAATATGTAGCATGCACTGCACTTTAACCAATCCAAACTTGAAACAATACAGCCTACAACAACTATGTGGACACCTATTCATTGTACATATCGCTGTCAATTTTACATTGTCCTGTTTTTTTTGTTATTATTATTATTATTTTAAATATTTGTATTAATAGTTGTATTTGCACTGTCTGTATTTTGTACTGTCTGGAGCCAGCACCTAAGCTTTTCACTCATAATAGCACACGTGCTGCTGATGATGTGACAATAAAAGTGATTTGATTTGATTTAATAAAAAATAATTCAATGATTTAATTACATGAATACACGTTTATTTGAATAAAAAATAAATAATAAAAAAATCGTACTCTATAAAATTACGATAATCTATATTTTTAAATGTATATTTTTTCACAATAATAACTATTTCAAAAGAAAATGTATAAGTTACAAAGCATTTTTCATCAAATAATACTTTACATTTTGGGTGTTTGGGTATTTAATATGAAAATATTTAGCAGAAAGAATATACTGATGATCATATTTGTGGTTTGTGGCATGTAAAGATTATGAAATAAGCTGATCACAGACTCCCTTTTTTACCCGCAGGCTAATTAACTAGCACAGAGTTAATGAATTCATGAGTTCACTCTTTATGCTGGCATTCCTTTAAATCATGAAGTGCTTTTATTGTGCGTGTCTATAAGCTCAGGCATTAAAATAGATAATAAAAGTGTAGTTTTAAAATTGTGCATGTCTAAAAGAGATATTACCATGGCACATCTGGAAAAAAAACAAGGTAGATCCATGGCATATTTATTCATTCATTCATTCATTCATTCATTCATTCATTCATTCATTTTCCTTCGGCCACTGAGCCACTGTGCTGCCAGTTAAATCATCTTTAATAAATAAATAAATAAAAAATATATGAAAAGGCGGCAACACCAACAATGATCATTTTTTAGCACAGTAATACTTTTTACCCATAAACAATGATTATTTTTAGCACAGAAATACTTTTTACCCATAAACAATGATCATTTTTTAGCACAGTAATACTTTTTACCCATAAACAATGATTATTTTTAGCACAGAAATACTTTTTACCCATAAACAATGATTATTTTTAGCACAGTAATACTTTTTACCCATAAACAATGACAATTTTTCAGTATGATAATACTTTATAGGCATAAATAATAATCATTTTTAACATGGCAATACTTTTTAGACATAAATAATAATTGTTTTTAATATGGTAATACTTTTTTAGTCATGAATAATAATGATTTTTAACATGGCAATACTTTTTAGGCATAAACAATGAGAGTTTTTCAGTATGATAATACTTTTTAGGCATAAATAATAATCATTTTTAACATGGCAATACTTTTTAGACATAAATAATAATTGTTTTTAATATGGTAATACTTTTTTAGTCATGAATAATAATGATTTTTAACATGGAAATACTTTTTAGGCATAAACAAAGATCATTTTTCAGTATGATACTACATTTTAGGCATAAATAATAATAATTTTTAACATTGTCATTTTTTGTCATAAACAATGATCCTTTTTAACATGGAAATCCTTCATATGCATATCTGCATAAATTATAATAATTTTTTTTTACATGGTAAATCTTTTTGGGCATAAACACTGATCATTTTTAACATAGTAATACTTTATAGCCATAAACAATTATCACTTCTCAACATGGTCTTCCTTTTTAGGCATAACAATAATCTTTTTCTTATTATTTTTAACATGGTAATACATTTTAGGCTTAAACATATTAATTTTTAACTTTTTCTAGCCATAAACAATGATCATTTTTAACATGGTAATACTTTATAGCCATAAACAATTATAATTTCTCAACATGGCCTACCTTCTTAGGCATAAACAAAATTAATTTTTTTAACATGGTTATATTTTTTAGGGCATAATAATAATACAATTTTAACAGGGCAACACTTTCTAGTCATAATCAATGGTCATTTTTACCATGGTTATACTTTTTTAGCCATAAATAATTAATTTTTAACATGGTAAATCCTTCTTAGGCATAAACAATTATCATTTTTCAGTATGATTATACTTTTTAGGCATAAACAATGATAATATTTCAACGTGGTAAATGCTTTTGGACATAAACAAAGTTCATTTTTAACATGGTCTTTCTTTTTAGGCATAACAAAGATAATTTTTAACATGGTAATAATTTTTACTCATAAACAATAATAATTTTTCAGTATGAAAATACTTTTTAGGCTTAAATAATAATAATTTTTCAACAAATTAATATTTTTGGGCATAAACAATCATCATTTTTCAACATGGTCATTTGATTAGGCTTAAACAATGATCATTTCTCAACACCTTCTTCCTTCTTAGGCATAACAATGATCATTTTTAACATGGTAATACATTTTAGGCTTAACAATAATCATTTTTGAACATGGTCTTCCTTCTTAGACATAAATAATGATCATTTTTAACATGGCAACATTTTCTAGCCATAAGCAATGTTAATACTTTGTTCTTGTTGTTTTTATGAGATGTCTTTGCATGTGTGTTTGTGTGTGCACCATGGTAATGCTTCATACAAACCCATGCATTAATACCAGTATGTTTTTGCACATGCACATAAATATTCCTGTGGTGTTCATTGATGTGCATGCAAGATTGAAGCAGAGCGCCTCTCACCTCCGCCGTTCTTGTAGCAGAGATACGGAAATCTCCAGACGTTCCCCAAGCCGATGATTTCCCCAGCCACAGACAGCACAAACTCCAGCTTGTTGCTCCACTGTCCTCTGTCCTTCATCTTCACCTCGGCGTGCGGGACGATCTCCAGCGGCCGGTTCAGCCCATTCGACGGCTCCATCTCCTTCTGTCCTGCTGAAAACAAAACAAACAAATTAAAGTAAACCCATGACTGCTATGAAGAGGTCTGACTTCAGTTAATGAGCGAAAATTAATGCATGACAGTTAATTATTCAATGTATTGCATCATTGACAGTCTAATTTTACAAGACAGATGACAGTGTTTTCGCTTGTTTTTTTATTTTTGTAAGTCATGAAAACCCGAACACACCCATTCAGGCCAGATCCTTTCATGAGCGCGGCTCGTAAACCAGTCTGTGCACAAAAGAGTGTGTGTTTGTGCGAATGCGGTGGACCCGCTCAATTCCATGCATATTACTGCAAGTTTTGTCATGACATTTCTAACCGTAGCGGCAGGAGCCAGAAAGCAACTTATCTCATGTGATTTACTGCGATCAGCCGACATGAGAAAAAAACACTCATGAGGGCACTACGCTTAAGATTAAACAAGCGATAGACTAAAAACACTCCGAATGAAGAGCAAACATTCAATTAATCAAAGAAGATTAAGCAATAACATAGCAACAGTCATTCATTTTTAGTTCAGCTTAGTCCCTTTAGTAATCTGTGGTCGCCACAGTGGAATGAACCGCCAACTTATCCAGCATATGTCTTACACAACGGATGCCCTTCCAGCTGCAACCCTTCACTGGGAAACATCCATGCACACTCATTAACACTCATACAATATGACAATTTAGCCTACCCAATTCCCCTATAGCGCATGTGTTTGGACTGTAGGGGAAAACCGGAGCATGCCAACACGGGGAGAACATGCAAACTCCACAGGGAAACGCCAACATAGCAACATTCATCATACAATTAGAATAACTTAGCGACTGCGAGTGCCCATAATACCCAACTACCCACTTAGCAACACCTTAACACTGTCATAGCAACAAGCAGAAACAACAACAACAGCAAAGCAACTCCTAAAAAAGCACTCAAGACTCCTTAGCAACATAGAAACACTTGAACACTGCTATAGTAACATGAAAAAAGACAACAACTGCATAGCAACTCTCAAAACAACACCCGGGACTACTTAGCAACATGGTAACACCTTAAAACAGTCATAGCAACATACACTCTAAAAATACTGCGTAGCAACATTTAAAAAAAACACTCTTTAGCAACCACATAGCAACACCTTAACACTGTCATAACAAAACAACCACCAACACACACAAAAAACAGTTTAACAACACCTAAAAAACACTCAGAACTCTATAGCAACCACAGAGCTACACCTCAACACTGTCACAGCAAACCCTCCTCACCAAAAAACACTGTATAACAACATCTAAAAAACACTCAGAACTCTATAGCAACCACAGAGCTACACCTTAACACTGTCATAGCAACAAGCAGAAACAACAACAACAGCAAAGCAACTCCTAAAAAAGCACTCAAGACTCCTTAGCAACATAGAAACACTTGAACACTGCTATAGTAACATGAAAAAAGACAACAACTGCATAGCAACTCTCAAAACAACACCCGGGACTACTTAGCAACATGGTAACACCTTAAAACGGTCATAGCAACATACACTCTAAAAATACTGCGTAGCAACATTTAAAAAAAACACTCTTTAGCAACCACATAGCAACACCTTAACACTGTCATAACAAAACAACCACCAACACACACAAAAAAACAGTTTAACAACACCTAAAAAAACACTCAGAACTCTATAGCAACCACAGAGCTACACCTTAACACTGTCACAGCAAACCCTCCTCACCAAAAAACACTGTATAACAACATCTAAAAAACACTCAGAACTCTATAGCAACCACAGAGCTACACCTTAACACTGTCATAGCAACTCCCTCACCAAAAAACACTGTATAACAACATCTAAAAAACACTCAGAACTCTATAGCAACCACAGAGAAACACCTTAACACTGTCACAGCAAACCCCCTCACCAAAAAACACTGTATAACAACATCTAAAAAACACTCAGAACTCTATAGCAACCACAGAGCCACACCTTAACACTGTCACAGCAAACCCCCTCACCAAAAAACACTGTATAACAACATCTAAAACAACACTCAGAACTCTATAGCAACCACAGAGCCACACCTTAACACTGTCATAGCAACCCCCTCACCAAAAAACACTGTATAACAACATCTAAAAAACACTCAGAACTCTATAGCAACCACAGAGCTACACCTTAACACTGTCATAGCAACTCCCTCACCAAAAAACACTGTATAACAACATCTAAAACAACACTCAGAACTCTATAGCAACCACAGAGCCACACCTTAACACTGTCACAGCAAACCCTCCTCACCAAAAAACACTGTATAACAACATCTTAAAAACACTCAGAACTCTATAGCAACCACAGAGCCACACCTTAACACTGTCACAGCAAACCCCCTCACCAAAAAACACTGTATAACAACATCTAAAAAACACTCAGAACTCTATAGCAACCACAGAGCTACACCTTAACACTGTCACAGCAACCCCCTCACCAAAAAACACTGTATAACAACATCTAAAAAACACTCAGAACTCTACAGCAACCACAGAGCTACACCTTAACACTGTCATAGCAACCCCCTCACCAAAAAACACTGTATAACAACATCTAAAAAACAGTTAAGACTCCTTAGCAACATAGAAACACTTTAACAATACCATAGTAACATGCAAAAAAGACAACAACTGCATAGCAACTCTTACAACAACACTCGGGACTACTTAGCAACATAGCAACACCTTAACTCTGTCATAGCAACATGTAAAAAATGAGCAACATCGGAAAAAAATACTCAAGACTCCTTAGCAGCCACATAGCAACACCTTAACACTGCCATAGCAACCCTCCCCCCCACTAAAAAAACATTATATAACAACATATAAAAAACACTCAGGACTCCTTAGTAACCAAATAGCAACACCCTAACATTGTCATAGCAACATGCAGGAAATAAACTGCATAGCAACATTCTGGACTCCTCAGTAACCACACAGCAACACCTTGACACTGTTATAGCAACATGCAGGGAAAAAAAACTGCATAGTATTTTTAAAAAACACGTCTTAGTAACCACATAGCAACACCCTAACACTGTCATAACAACATACAAATACAAAATTACATACAAACACTTAAAAAAACACTCTGGACACCTTAGCAACTGCATAGCAACACCTTACCACTGTCATATCAACAAGCAAAATAAAAAAAACATTGCAA